CCCCCACCCCACAAGTTCCTGGGGCTTTAAATCTCTTCTTCAATAAAATGTTATAAGTAGTTCTGCTGTTTCATCCTAGTGTTCATGCTTCACATGCTGTATACATTTTCCAGCATTTTATTCAATAAAATTCTCATCTTTTCTATAAAGTTATCTAGTTTCTCACCAATAGCTCAAGTTTGTTATCTTTTCATTGTACTGTTTATATGTTGAAGTTTTATACTGACTCCTATCCTATTAAAATGTGCAGAGTTGAATTTTGTAATTTAACTGACAATGATAAATTAATTGCATTTGATAGTTTTAGTCATTCAAAATAGTGGGATGCAGATTGGATTTAAAAGTTTGAGGGGGTCCTTTGTGCACCATACAAAGGATTTACTGACACTATAATTCTGTTTCAACATGTGACTGAAAAATGATGAAATAGATCTATATATTCCTTGCTATATTCATTGAAGAAATAGAAAGTCTTGCAAAGGGGTGAGAGATAATTTAATAATAATTAAATAGTAGTCTTGATGTTTTGCTTTAATTTGTGACACCTGTTATGGTTTTTCTGGAGGAGAATAACTGCATTTGCTATGGGTTTTTTGTGTGTGAAGTGAAAGGCTTTGGGAAGGTCTCTCTTACGCGGCTTACTGATATGATGAAGAAGAACATTCATCCCGTGAGAAAAAATCAGTGTACTGTTTCCCTTATTGTCTGTTCAGAAATTGGTTTCCCTGTTCGCTCCTTGATTGTGGTTAGAAGATTCACTGATTTCTAGAGTCTGCCTGACACAAGAACATGGGGACAGACAACTGTGGCTTCCAGCTCGCTTGACAAACGAGGCCTGTAGGGCTCAGGATACTGTATAAAAATACATGATTTAGACCTTTGTCAATGAATTTTGACAACCGCTTATATGACTGTCACTGTTGAGGCTAATCGTTGTCTTTGCTGTCTTTGACACTTACTTTTGTGATGCTCAGAAAATACTCATTCTCTGTAGCCAGTATTAAATCTGGTCTTGGCAGTGCTCATTTCTCATTGTCAGTGGCACTGGGAAGGAAGACATTGGCTTCTTTTAATTTTAATTTTGTGTGTCCTTGGGCTTGTCCCATTTTGTGACAGAAGGAGTGCAGTCCTGTCCCTGCTCTCCCTCTGAAAGTGAACACACAAGGAACTTTGAATAAAGAGGGAGATTTTATGGCTCATATCTGGAATTTGATACGCCTCCATGACCTTCACATATTCTGTGCACGGCATTTAAAATTTTGAAAAAAAATCCCGAGTTTGCAAAGATGCACGTTTTGTAGCTTTTTTAATCACCAGCATCACTGAATTATTCTCTGTTGTGTACTTGCATGTTATCAGCATGGCTGATTTACGTGTTACGCATTGCTCTTATATGTTACTGAGTAAAAAAAATTGTGCTACAACAGCTAGGAGAAAAGACAGAGGTGGAGGAAAATCTGGATGAGGACTATATCAGAATATCTGTTGGTATTAAAAGGCATGACTAAATCTAAGAAGCTGAAGATTCATGTTTCTGGTCTTCTCTCTATGCTTGTTCCCAATACCGATGCAATGTTAAGAAGTGGAAAAAAAAAAGAAAAAAGTAACAAGAAATTTATTAGCACCTAATGACTGGTTTGGGGAACCTTTCTCTTATTTGAAGTTGGGAATAATTTTCAGCAGAAAGGAGCATGGATAGTTTCAGTGTGTGTAATACTAAGGGTTCTTGTTGCTGAGCACCAGTGAAAGTCTGTCCTAAGGGTATCTTTGAGATGCTGGAGATTATGGTAACTCTGCAGACACTGTGGATGTTTCTAGCAGATCTCAGCTGAAATCATTTTTTTCCCAGTCTTATTCACTGCTCATCAGTGGTCTAAAGCAAAATATAAAAATATGCTTTTATTTGGAAAAGATGTTGAAAAACCATATGGTAATGAAGGATCAGCTTTTACTAAGCAGAACTGGTTACTCTGTAATTGAGTTGACTTGAACAGTGTCACTTTTATTAAATTCCGTGGCTTGCATCTAAGATGAAATAACATGAAGGAGTGGAGCTGTATTTGCAAAGGGATGTCTCTAAATGAGACTTCAAGTACTTCTTTGCATAGTGGTGCAGCACTTATCTCCCTGTGTGATTTAAGGCTTTCAGCCTTATTTCTCACTCTGTGCTTCTCTGACTTCAGTTCTCAGTCAGTATATTTCATTCATTCATATAAGAGATTGCCTGGAAATATTTGAAAAACAAGAATTCTTGTATATACTATGGGAAAGATACAGTGCAGGCGTTGAGAAGTGCTATTACAGTTTCATATAGAAGGGAGTGTATTACAGGGACATCCTATCTGGTTCTGGCTTCTGTACTTCACAAGGCAGGTTACAAATCAGGAAAAGGTCAGGAAAGAGCTATGGTAATAATTTCAAAGTCTTGAAAGCTTGTAGAAATAGTTTGATCTTTCATTGACTTCTGAGAGTAAAAGACCATGTTCAAGTTACTTATTGGTACTTAGTACTTACCTTTTAAACGATACTTTTCTTCCAACTGTCTCACTAGCACATATTTTTTTTTGTCGATTTTTTATATTAAGGAAAATGTCCAGTAATATGTCTTTTGGCATTAACACTGGAAAAAAAAGTATGATGCAGTCAAATCATGTTAGCAGAAGAAAAATACTTGAAAGTAAGATATACATGAAAATAAATAGAAACTTTACAGTCTTTTGCAGTCCAGACAGGCTTTTCTGAGAGTTGTATAAAACTGGTGTATGCAAACACTTTTGTTTGCTTTAAGCTTTGCGCTCGCTAGCAGGGCAGACAGAATAAATCATTACCCATGACCTCCATACAGCTCTTCGTTTTATAGGCCTCTGTCATATTCCTCTTCTATTTTTCTATGGTATGGAATAAACATATCTTCGGGGATAAAGCAGAGGAAACAGGATTTTCTCTGTTAATCTGCATTCAAAAATGATTAGGTAAATAACATTGCCTGACTAAATGTGTATTTGAAAAGTACAGGGCACAGGAGTGAATAAGGGTGAAATCTGAGTCAGGTAGTCATGCCAGCTACCCAAGCCATTTCAGTCTTCACCCATCAGGGGCCATATCAACCAGTGAAATAGATCATCTCTGCTACTAATCAAGTGTCAGTTTTTATGCTCTTTAAGATATTTTAACTTTCAAAATTCCAACAGTTTTGCATCCTCATAAAAATAAAACAATCCTTTGAACAATGCTATCATTAATTCATTTTTTAAAAATGACACAAATTTAAGTACAAATAAAATTTTGCAAAGGTTTTGCATTAGGATTTAAGACTTTCATTGAGTGCAAGACCCTAAAACTCATCCTATTATTACAGAAATATTTTGGAGCTTTAGTGCACTTGTAAAGAAGTCAGAAAACTAAATTGTGTTTCTTAAAATACTAGATGATCATCTTTTAATGCAAATATTTAAAATTTATACCTAAAAAAGTGTGTATTTCATTTCAATATCCTGAATTTATTCTTGTAGAGAAATAAAATTAGTTGCTGTACTCTTAAAGTGGGGAATAGAAAGGATAGTTTCAGGCCTTCCATAACTAACAAACTCAGGTCACTTTTGTGGAATGTAGCTGATGAGGATAATAACTTGGTGACAAAACTTGAAAAGGTAATAATTCCAAAATTGCCAAGTCATTACTCTTGTCTTTAAGAAAGAACAAACTAATTTATTTCAGAAAGAGTTAAACTTGAGGTTATCTTTTTGATAACCTAATAGTGTTGTAAGATTAATATCATTCTGTATCATTTATCTCTTGTACTTGAGCTGTTTTTGTGAAATAAGCAAAATACAGATGACACAAGTCAACAAGAAAGCTTCAGCTTGCTATTCATTTGCACAGAGATGAGAACTCTGCAAATGAATAAAACATCGACTGAAGCTTCAAAATTCAGTAGTTTTCACTAAAGATATCAAAAAAGTTTGAGTCCAATTACAGTTTCATCGCAGAATTAACCACAGTAAAGGAAGGAAGGAAGGGAAATCCACACCTCAGGGAATGGTGGTTTGTTCCAAGTTTTATCTCTGGGTTTCTGTGATGCCATTTAGTTGTTTTTGACTTTTCCAACTAAGGCCTTTTTTCATTGGTTTACAGTTCTGGAAATGGTTTTAGGTAAGCATAGCACTACAGCAAAGTTATTACCATTGCAGTCTACCTTCATGTTCCTTAAAGACTCATGAGTTAGTTGGACTAGATAAGTGTCTTCATGACCAGTCATTGCATTTTTCTGATCTCTTCTTTCCAAAGAGTTTCCAACAAGGGTTAGGGGAAAAGGTGGTGATACAATGGAAATGATGTGATTCTTTAGTAAGAGCAAAGGGAAGATCTGCATCGGTCTTGTTAGAACCGGCTGTGGTTAAGTGGGATCAGCAGTTGCACCGCTCCCTCTTTATTCTAGAGATTGCTCTATGGAGTTTTCCCTACATGCTGTGGGTTGGGCAAATGGGACTTGTCATGATTCTCGATACCTCCAACGTTTTAGGAAACTCAGGCTTTGAATGAAACACTGGCCATCTGAAAAAGCTGAGGAGTAGCTTTCATAAAAACGACTAAACTTAATAGGATTTCAGTTATTCTTGGGGCTGCTATTGGGAAATACACTGTATTATTTCAGATATCTCTCACAGTAACCTTTGACAAAAGTATTCAATAGCAACTACTGTATGTTTTTGGTATTTGCAAAGATTAGCATGAAAGCAAACTTTTTTACTTGTATAAGGTTGATCAGTTATTTAAAATGCTGCTCTCTCTACACTTAAAAACAATACTCAGTGTTCTTTGGAAGCTCAAATATACTATTTTTTTGTTAATGAAAATAAGATTTTGACTACGTTTATGCAATAATGCTCCTAAAATTCTGCTTTTTATTTTACATTGCAGTTTATAGAAGCTCTTTTTGTGCATGTAAATTCAATATTTTTGAAAAGTTTTACATTGTTGCCTTTGTTTTTCTATTTTAGAAAATAGTCCTGCAGTTGAACTTCCTATAAAATTTATTCCTAAATATGCTGGTCGCTACTGCTGTCAGATTCTTCTCAAGTCCTCCTGTGATGTTCGTCTCTATAAGGTTGAATGTATAGTGAATACAGACTGTGCTGAAGCTGAGCTTGAATTTCTATCTCCAGCTTACCAGGCAGTGATTCAGGACATTCCAATAGTGAGTTCACTTTACTCTTAGAAACTAGACCAAGTTTGAAGATTTTAAAAAACTGGACTCTTCATTAGTGCTGTGAAGATTTACAATTGTAAAATCCACAAAAGCGTATAAATATTGATTTCACAATTATTACCCCCAAATACATACTGGAAATAATATAAAGCTTATTGGAAAAAGTAATTCCTGGCAGTTCTTAGAGTAGGTTATTGCTGCACATCGTTCATTTTGATGCTGACAATTGCTATCTGTCACCTTAATGACATGTTAGCACAGTGAGAATGAAAAAGAGTTGTTTAATCTGAGAAACATAGTAGTTTTGAAAAAGAAGAGATGAAACTGAGAGGTAAAATAGAAGAGTTATATTGTGGATTATTTTTTTTTCCCCAAATGAACTTTTGAAACTGGCCAAGCTGGCTTTGAAATGGGTTATGTTTTTTTCCTAATATTGTGTGGAGAAAAAAAAAAAAAGCATGAAAAGAAAAATAATCTTTTGAATCCTTTTTTCACTCGTACACTTTTCCTTAAGCATGTGATTATCAGAAATGTTTTTTTCTTTCATGGAACTGTTATTACAGAGTTGGGGACCACAGTACTAGGAGTATTTTGAAAAAAAAAAATTCTTTTGAGGCACTAAGCAAATTACCAAGCAGCCTTTTGTGCTGAACTACCAGGTTTTCTACCTGTTAGGAATTAAGCATCAATCATATGTATTAATGAAGTTTGAAAATCTCGTGCCACGAGATTTGATGTGATAGCCAGAGATTACTGGAGCTCATAGTGCTGCTTAGTTTCTGAGTTTGAGATGGCTGGGCTTGAGAGCCTTTCAAAGAAGGAAGCCAGAATTGAAGTGCCTGTCATCTGCATTCCCCAGATTTTATTTTATATCTTTGATATTTGTATGCATTTTTTTCCATGGGTTGAGACTACTCTGGTTCAAAGAATTCTGCTTTCCACAGGTTAGAGCAGCCTCCTCTGGTTTTCCAGACAGGTGTTACCTCTTGGATACCAGTTTATTCTGACTTTTTCACATGGGTGTTACATTTTTGCAGACTGGATGTTGGTTGGCTGATTCCTTCAAATATCGGCAGGCTGAATACCAATTTCTTAGTTTTACTTTGCATCTCACAGGCGGATATTAAAAAAATATTTCACTTCTTACCCTGTGTCAAGGAACTATGTGGCATGTTTGCAAGCAAGGCAAATGTGTTTCATAAATAGGCATTGAGATCACTAAGGACAACCGTTCTGTGAAAAAGATTATTTTCCTGAAACGGCATTTCTGAGAATGCAGAATTGTAAATACTCCTTTGGGAGACTTAAATCCTCACTAAGCACAGCTGACCAAGTAGTACAGTCAATGGTCAAGCACAGCAACATATGTGAGTGTACCAACCACATCAGCACTCCGAAGAACCACACCAGTGTTTTCAGCAGATTGGAAAAATGAAATGTAGTTTTGGCAGGCATTAAAAAGCTCCGTGCAGATACTTGTAAATGTTTATAATGATAGATGTAAAATCCTATTGATCATTGGCTGTATCACATATATATTCTTCTAGAGAATCTGCTGACTGTATTGATAGTGGCAGTATTGCTACTAGTAGCTCTGGCTGCCAGGGATAGAGGATTTAGGATGAGTTTATTTTTAAAGTACACTGTAATTTTCCCAGAAACTGTTCTGAAGTCTGTGCTCGCATTTGGTGGTAGCTGAGTGAAAGCAGAAGTGAATATTAAGAGCTTTAAGTATGTAATCTAATTTATATCTTCACCTTGATTTCAGAGAAACACGTCCCATCAGGACTGGAAACTTGAAGCTGTTCTGGAAGGACAGAGTTTTTATGGCCCTCGTGTATTATGTGTGGGTCCAGGAGAAACAGTTCAGTATCCTCTCATGTTCAAGCCTATTGCGGAGTGCATAACAATGGTAGGAGAAAAAATAAATTCAACATTTACAAGGAATGCTTCTGTTGGTAAAATTTGCATCTGTCTTCAAACTCTGCTAGCGCTTTAGAAGTTACTTGCGTTAGGTATCTGATTAGGAGTTTATCTGCATTAGTGAGAAACTGAAAAAATCGCAAAGAAACTTAGCTTTTCAAAAGTTAAGTTTTAATTTAAATACATATATTGAGTTCTGTTTCATTGCCTAAGTCATGAAGTAGCAGCATTAAATATTTCTCATACATATTTCTCATACACCACAAGTTTATTTTGGTGATAAGTATTTGATTTTCATAAAATAATTTATGCTACAAGTTGAACTACTAAATACACTCTACTTTTGTCATCAGAATAATCACTATTCTGATTGCTGAAATGGAGTGTGGGGCAAAGGCTAGCGCAAGAAGCAGTTTACCTGCTTTTGCTTGTGTGCTGTCAGAGCGATTTTGCCTGCAGGATGCTATTTAAGCATGCAAATTGCAAAGACAAAAAGAAAATGTTATGTGAAATACTAACAATCCATCTACATGCATTACCAACCAAATATGGTGGTGTTTAGGAATCCACTGTTGTAAAACTATTAAAAACTTAAAACCTTTAATCCTTTGATACCTAATAATCATGATGATTAAGTACAGATAAAAACGTTTGGACAAAATGTTTTTTTTATACAAGCAAGTGTGAGGAATCAGAGTTTTTCTCAGAGGTTCTCGTTTTCCATCTAGAAGGCAACTGGGATGGCTTTGTATTATTAACTTCATAACTTTGAAGAATATTAAAAGGCATCTCTTTCTTTACCTTCCTTCAGTTTAGCAGAGAAGCCTACGTATGAAATAGGAAAGTCATTAGGAACGCTTTCCTCAAAGCTTGCTTTTGTTGCCTGGATTTAACTCCTTTAATAGATGAAAGTAGTTGCTTTGGCAGCCAGACAAAAGTTCTACGGCACTGAAACTTTTCTTCTTCTTCTTTCTTTGACACAGGGCAGGCTTATTCTCCGAAATTACACAGATGGCACTGAAAATATTTTTAGCCTTAAGGGAATAGGGAAGACCCCTCTGGCACTGGATCATATTGTGATAGATAGCCAAGTGAGACAGGTTACTCAGAAAGAATTAAAGGTGCCTAATTATACCAAGAACAAGTTGACATACAAGGTAAATTTATGCAAAAATGTGACAATTATTGTTCTTTTCAAGGGTCTACAAATTGTATATTAGACTAGCTGATATTATTTTCATTGCTGATATATTAAAATCCATGTATGCATGAGAAGTTATAATTAACTTGTTGCTTAAAGTATTTGGATATGCATGTAGTAAGGAAATATTTGAGATGGTGTGTTTTAGTGATTTTCCCTTGAGAAAGAAATGTGGATTTTTTTTCCCCGATTCCGAAGAGAGCAAGACTTCTACAATTACCCTGCCTGTTTATTTGCCCAAGTCTTTCCTCCTATACTTCCCTAAGAGATTTGAAAGCAGTGGCCAGTTTCATCCATCTTGAACTCATAGAAAAATTACTCTGAAATACAGTGTTCCTAATAACTTCTTAAAACATCGGCTTATTACAGGAAAGAAACAAAAAATATTATCCCATGAAGAGAAAGGCTGCAGCATGAACTGTTCCATACCTGTTCCTTATGGCTTGCTAGTCAGGCCAGGCAGCACTTGCATTTCTTGGAACAGATTTTAACAGCTGGTGTCTTTTGCCCAGCTGTGATTTGAGGGACTTTGGAGGAAACTAGGAGTACTCTGGTTGTTTTTTGATGGAAAAGAAAATTTCAAGGAAGTAATTTAAAGGTTTTTGAAGGGCAGTGGGTCACTATGGAGAAGCAGGAGGTGGTGGGATAATTGTGGTTTGAATAAAGGGACATATGATACAAAATCTTAGGAAAAAACATCTTTGTTAATTCCCTTGCTCAGGAAATTCTTTATACGAATAGCTTGTGGGTTTTTTCTGTTTTTTTTTTTTTTTTTTAATTACATATGCTTTATAATAATATTTGCCCAAATACATTCATTCTATTTAAAAGCACTGTTGTATCATCCTAATTCTACTGCATATTTTTTCTACCATTTATTTCATAAGTGCTTTATGTAAGTTTAATTTGAAACTCAGAAACTTACTTCAGTCATTTCCACGTCTGCTTTATGTCACACGGCAGCAGAGAGATAAAATGTACATTAACTAGAACAAAAGGACAGTGCTTTTCTTCTGAGCTGCAGAGAAGGCTCTCTAGCAGGAACACCTTGGACCTCGGCCAGCAAAAAGCCGTCTTGGCTTAACTCTATTACGGCATTTAAATCTAGAGTAGGTAGATGCTGGATACTCTATCTCCACTGCATTTTTTTTAGCAGGAGTCAATCTATAAAAGCCAAGGCAGAAGAATATGCTCTAAAGATTGTCAATGTATGTGTATTTTTGAACTGAAGTTTTCTTTTTTCTTTTTCTTTTTTTTTTTTTCTTCTCATGAGTGTGATGAAAAAGCAGAGAATATAGATTCCAGTAGGTAAAATCTGACCAGTTAACAAGTGTGGAGATGTGAAATGTGTCTTATCTTCTGTCTTTTTGTCAGTAGCACCAAATTCTGCTTTAATCAATGTGTCATGCATCAGTAGAGAGAGGAGCTCACCTTTTTTTATACAGCCATATAGGCTTTGGTTTTTCACTATTAGAGGAATATTTACATTTAATAAATTTTACATAACATAGAATGGCCTGACTTTACCAGTTTTGCTCCAAAGCAAAATAAGACAGAGCTTTCTTTTTTAGGCCATTTTTCTTTAACATTTTTATTTTCAACTATTTGAACTTTTTAGATATGAAGGAATTTGCATTTCTTATGCATTTGTACTTTTTATTTCTGAAAGAACTGAATGTTTCTGAAAGTTGGAACAATTTCCTTTGCTTTCCCATTTTTGCATCAATTCAGTATCTTTGTGCCATTGAAATTAAAAGGCACTCGAATATTAAGCTTCATAATGAATGCATTAAAATTCCTCACTATAAGTCTTTTTCAGAAATATTGCACTGATTTATGGCAGTTGTAACTGTTTCAGGGTGAACTAGTTATTAAACTTGGAACTCATTGACTGTATTCTCTGGTTATGAACCACCGATCTCTCTCTCTCTCTCTCTCTCTCTCTCTCTCTCTCTCTCTCTCTCTCTCTCTCTCTCTCTTTCTCTCTCTCTTTCTCTTATACATTCTCCCTCTCCTTCTTCACCTCTTCATCCTCTTCCCCTTGACTTGGCAGTCCAACCATTTCTAATTCAAAGATCAGAGAAAGTATTTCCTGTTTCATAGAAATCATAACTTTTGAAATGTAACTATGTTTGCTTTCTATGTACTCTTCTTGGTTTGAGGACTTTCGGGAGATGAGATCAAGTACAAGTTTATGCTTGTATGCATGAAGTAGATTAAATAGTGTAAATAATTTATTTTCTCCAATTTAGGATTTTCCCAAGAAGCTGTTGCAGAACAGCTCTGTTGAAGCAGAGAGGCTTGGAATTAGTGGAAAATTAGAAAAAAAGCATAGGTGTCTGTAAACTATCTCACCAACAGAACAGGCTTTTCAAGAGAAATAGTGGTAAGGAATCCCAGTTTAGGATTTATTACCTGGGCTTTTAGGCAATCTAAATTGATGCACTGAAGATTGGAAGAGAATTGTTTCAAACCGTTTAGTCAATGGAGTGTGAGCAAAGACACATAAATGTAGTCATTTAGAAACATGACTGTTATGTATTGTTATTTTTGAGAAAGGTAGATTACTTAACAGAAAGACTGAAGGAAGCTAAGTGGAAGTATCAGTAATAAAGAGACCAAACACAGAACTAACAAGCTGAATTCCTTGCAGCACTCCCTGGAAGGTGCCACACAATATTTTTTGCTATTGTAGTGAGTGAAGATGATTTGCTTGCTTTTATTTTCAAGAGGATTAGTCTTTTCAGTACATTATGATTTAATCAGTAGAACCAGGATGTGATCATCATTATCTGTTGTTGCTAGTGGAAACAGGAAGGCCACCTTTAAGAAAGAACTGCGACCAACTACCTTGTTAGAAATGCAGGACTAAGATTATTTGTTTGCCCAGAAGTGCATAGAACAAAGGACAACTGGAAAAAGAAGCAATTTTGTTGTTGCTGTTGTTTATTCCATGCTGCCTGATTACTGTAATTTCTGGATAGTCTGTTGAGACGCAGAAGGCTCCTTTCTGATTTTGTTTTTTCAGTGTTTCCCTTGGGAACAGTTCCCGAGAGCCAAAGAACTCTCCAACTTAGTAATTTGTTATCTTTGAAATTTTACTCTATTGTCTTTTTGCTTAATTGATGATTGGGAAGTGGAAAACTTGTCATCCTTCATGGAAACAGAATAAAACTAATCCAAAAAGAATAGCTTTTTATTTTTTTAATGTTTTTGAATATTGTTGGACAATGATTATCTTCATGATTGAAGTGGTTGGTTTGTTTTCCAGTTACATTCTCCTCTATGGAATGTATCCACTAGACAAGGCATCTTCTCATAGATAAACTAGGACATGCATTTTTTTTAAACATAGATATTTAATTCCCTGCAATAATAAAGCTTGAATTGTATAAGCTGAGTAATATAAGAATGTGCTAACAAATGTAATAATTTTCAGGCATATCCATGAAGAATTTACTGCAAGGAATACTTAGCATTTGTGTAATTTAGGTGAATTAATAATTAGACAATTTTACCTTTACGGGGTAAATATAGCACCAGCATTTTCATAACTGAATATATTAAACTATTATTTTAATAACAAATAACATGTAATTTCATTAAAAATTTAATTACACCATATAGATTATACAGTGTTTCTTCAACTAAAACATGGATACTACTGGAAAGGTAGCTATTACAAATGGGATTTAAGCTTGGGAGAAGAAAGAGAGAAATAATTATTTTCCTCTATTAAAAAAGCTTTCTCTCTTCACATTTAACATGTAGAGGATGGCCATATCTGGAGCTGAAGTATGTGTAGTTTGATTGTTTGTGCAATCACTAATGTGTACCAAGAAAGTCAGGGAGAGAATAAATGCCTGTGGCATTTGATGGAGGTCACGTGCTTAATTCCCTCAGTCTACCTCTGAAAATGCCAAGGAAAACACTTGTTGTATATAGAAGATTTTCCATAATTAAAAAGACAATTTCCAAAATAATTCTTTTAAAGCTGTGACTGATTTTGTGTACTGATTTCTCCTAACTGATGTGTAAAACTTAGGGCAGTACTGCCATGGCTTGTTCTAGGGGACACAGCAACAAACAGACTTTCTCATGATTAATGTACCCCTGAGTCTGAAGAATATTCACAACAAATTTCATATCTGGAAGGAATCGCATCCTTATCAGATGCTAAATTAATTTAAAGTTAGTGACTAAAATGTAAGTGGAATTTAGTGGCTGTAAAATTATATTCAAATCGTCCTATAGGAGTAGAAAGTATGATGTAGTTTTATTCAATATAATGTATCAGTTTGATGGTAGGTTTTTTATACCACATTCTCTTGATTTTTATATTGAAATATATCTGCAGGATATAAATAATTGACTGATGTGTTATTGGTTGATTCTAATGACACCTTTGATAGCAACTTGAGCTGTAAAAGTGCCTAATTCATTCAAGGCTCCATTTTGCAGTAAAAATATTAAACTGTAAAACCCTTCTTCTCTATGCCATTCCAAACAGATGTCATTCAAATAAACTCTCGGGAGGAATCTCAGGGCTCAATGAAATGATTTTTCACATATTTGGTTACATATACCAACTATTAGTCATTTCTGAAAATAATGTACACTAAATATAAAATGTAGAACAAAGAAAATAAAACCCCTTTACTCCAATTCCTTATTCTCTCTTTCCTCCTTAAATACACTCTGGATCTGGATTTTTATTTCTTGGGATTTTTCTTGTCAACTGATGGCAGCTCATTTAGGGATCTGATTTACTCCTAGTTACATGGAGCTGCAGATTACAAGAATTTTGGGGGGAATATGCAAGAATTTTGGTTGGAATATACCAGGTGCAATACAGCACTGTTTTATTTCAGTTTTGTTGGATGCTGCTGACGTTAAGAGCCATTGCACAAACTAGGCGTGTTCTAACAATTTAGGGACTTGCGAAGTATACGCTGATAGGAAGCTAGGGGAAGGTAACAGGAGTTTCTCCTAAAGTATGTTTCAGTCTTGACACAATATTGACAAAAATCTGACTTAGCAGGTCCATCAGTGGCTGTCGCCTCCTTAGTTCTGATTTAACAACAGGGAATTTTATGCTTTTAAAAAGCATAAAAACCTTTCATTGGACGTGAGAAGCAAGTATTAAGTAATAATTATTGAACATATTTCTGTCTAAATCGATGATACTGATATGGCAGGAGACAGTGCAGTTTAAACTTATTTGATTAAACTGTGTACATCAATTCACCACTTCAGCTTGATGAGCAGCAATGATGACAGGGAAGTCTTTAGTATGCAATGGCAACTGGAGTACCTTAACATGGAATGCTCAACTGGGATAAGGAAATAGGGAGTGTGTGTGTGAAGAGAGGATTACTGAAACTCTGGGTTTGTGAATTTGTCAAAATTATGAACAGAACAGTGAATTTACATCTCTGGAACAAAGGTTTAGATACTACGGTTGGGTGTAGATATTAGTGAGTTGACTTGGCATCAAGAAATACACTATTACTACAAAATTAGACATTCAGATTTAAGGTTGCTCAGTTGAGACTACAGATCGTAGCAATGCATTCAGGAAATCAATAATTGTATTTAATAACCGTGTTTCATAACCTCTGCTTTAGCAGTAATTACAGCATAAATAATATTCATGAAACTGGAAAATACGTTAAATAAAGTACTACTCATAGAAGTTTTTCTTCTGAATTTATTAAGTAGTTTGTCATTTTGGACATGCATTTTTTTCATATTACCACTTCCTATTTTATGTTTGTGTGAAAAAGGAGATAGAAAGAATTGCAAATCTTTGGCTTTGCTTTCAATATTTGAAACAGTCTACATAGTGCTTTTTCAACACAAAGGAAAAACTAAGGAAAGATGTTTTCTCTTTTTGCTGGAGGTGATGAGAGAAGGAAGGTGCTTGCATTGTGGTTCACCTTGCAGTCCTGTTGCTTTGAGCATCCAGGAATGAGGCTTTTTGAAGCATGCTATAGTAGCATTCTAACCTGTACGTGAAAACTGTGTTCAGATTTCAAAAAATCTGAAGGTACTTAAGGTACTGAAAAAAAAAAAAAAAGCTTAATGTAAGAAATTATAGCATGCTGCTGTAGCTACTGCTGTAGTACTACATCACACAGAATAGCTGACGTTGGAAGGGACTGTCTGTTTGTTGCCAGAGTCCCTGCTCCATCCAGCAATGGACCCCTATTTTTCCTATCTTCCTTTTGTTGCTGGTTTATTTGAAGAATCTCTTCTTGCTGTGCTTGACATCCCTTGCCAGATTCGACTCCAAATGGATCTTGGCCTTGCTAGTCCCATCTCTGCATGCTTGGATGATGTCCCTCTATTGCTCCCAAGAGGCCTCTCCCTTTTTCCACCTTCTATACACATTCTTCTGTCTGAGTTTTGCCAGGAGCTCCTACTTCATGTGTGCAGGACTCCTTCCACCTTTTCTCAACATTTTCCTCACAGGGATCACTAGGATGCACCACTTGGAGCTTGTAGGAGATGATCCTGGTTTATAAACTGTATTGGATGACTCCTCCTTCTGGAGCCATATCCTATAGGATTCTTGCAAGCAGGTCCCTGAAGAGGCTAAACTTTGCTCTCTTGAATCCTATCATATATTCTAACATTATCCTAAAAATATATTTATAAAAACTTTGAACTTCCATGGAAAATTGTAGCCTGCAGAAAATTCCCTGCAGAAATTGCAGTATCAATTTAAAATAATATCGCTCAACAGCAGTTTCTTACAGTGGCAGAGGTAACAACAAGTAGTCTGTAATTATCAGCTACATTTGGTGAGATCTTAAACATCTTTTCCCTTCTAGGAACAGCTGATTGTAGACTCTCAGTTTATATGTAATGAGATTGATAGATGACCAGATCCATCTTTCAGTTCAGAAAAATTGCTTTGGTTTTTTAATTGTCTGAGTAGTTAATATATAAGTTATAATATATATGTCATTTACAAAATATACCATATCTAAAAGCATTTAATTATCATTAAAGTATAGCAATTGATATTAAAGCAAAATGTTAACTTTTGCTTTGATCTGTCAATACTTAGAATGATCAGTATTGTTAAAAAAGTTTATTATACTTCTTAAGTATGCCATATTTCTAAAGAAATTGTGTGTTAAAAAAGCTACCTAGTGCTACTGTGCCACTATATAAGTAGTTCCACTATCTTATTTAGATAATTTTACTTAACTTGAACAGTGACTTCAAGATAACCTGTATGTTGGCTTTATGCACATACTCTCATAATATTTATTCTTTCAATCTTTTACCAATTTATTTACCAATAGTGTGTTTTATAAAATATGCTACTTTTCAAAACTGGTAGAATAGGTATTTTGCCTATACTACCACAGTAACTTGCCTTTGATTGTTTTCCTCTTTGTCAAATTTGTTCACCAGGTATCTTCAGATCTTCCAATAGTGGGTGGTCCATCATCTCTTACTGTAGGACCAGGTGATACAGTTGTGTACCCTCTAACTGTTTCTCCATGGAAACGAGGAACTTTTGAAGGTATAATATAGGAATATTAAAATCCCTATAAATTAAAACTTTTTTTTGTTTACAATTTGAACTTTTTTTTAGCATTTTAACATCTTTTTAATAGATCTGTTTACATTTAACATATTTATGTTCTACATAACCTTTCTTCTGGAGGCAAGGATGTAATTGCTGGTGATACTGTTTTTAAACTTGTGCATATTTTTACTTTTAAAGGTATATTACTGCTAACAAGTGGTCCGGTGGTTCAAATATGCAAGGACATGTGCAACTTCATGCTTTTAAGTGCTGTAATAAACTTTAACCAGATGGAAATTCCTCAGTTTGAATTTTCCCCAAGTTTTTGGGTCTGTATCTAATTTTCTATATGAAGTTGAATAGTTGTAGATATCTAAGCACTCCTAGAACCAGTGGTAGAGACCAGAATTTTATTCTTTCCTTAACTAAAGTTGTTGCCCATACAAGCAGAAGTAAATAGATAGAAAGTACTGAATTCTGATTCCTTCTTCACATCATAGTGTTAAGGGAAAACTTGAGGTTTAGAACTGCCTAAATTATATTTGACTTTGTAGTCTTGTCCTTTTTTTTAATAACGTTTTTATCATTTAAAAATAAATTGCATGTATTTATACCTGATAAGAGGGTTTTTACCATATAAACTGCTGTACTGAGAATTTGCATGCTTTACATTTTTCAGGGGCTTTTTTTTTGCTGCAAAATTAAATAGCCTCATTTTTTTTTTCATTCCTTCTTGCAATTATAAAATTATTTCGCCAAAAATAGGTCCAGTTCTTCTCAAAGGTCCTCTTGGAAGCATTTCAATAGAGGGCTATTATTATATGCTTCATTTGGCTTCTTGCTCTATGGGATTTTAGCATAGAAATAATAGGTAATCAATTTTTCACACAAGATTCTGGCACCAGATAAAAATCTTCAGTAATATATTTTCTAAGTAATGGAGCAGCTTCCTTTAGATATGATAGAGCATCTGCCTATTATTTGGTCTTTTATCAAACTCGTATTTCTGTTTTCCACATCCAGAATAGTGCCAAACTCGTAGTATTTGATTAAAAAAGAAAAATATAACTGTGTAGTCAGTGACCTTTTACAGGTGAAAATATACTAGCTTATAGAAAGGAGATTTATAATTTTCTACATCACCTTTTATTTACCTTTGAAGTGTGTCTGTATTGGTAGTACTTTTACATACCTAAACTTTTTTACATACCTAAAACTTCTGAACCTTAAAATTAGAAAAATATTGAGACCATTATACTGTGATTGAGACAAAGCTGGAGGGACCTTCTGGCTGCCTGATTGCAGTGAGTGTCCCTGGCCAAACCTGTGCTAGGGCTGAACCTAGCAGGGTGAGTGGCTGCCCATCTGCACACTGATGCACAGCTGGCCGAGTGGTGCCCAGCAGACTGTGACCACCTCTCCGAGGGCAGCAGCCCCCCTGTTCTGCAGCGTGGTACCAGGCACCATCTGAATGCTGCCGTCTTACCCCGTCCTCACAGGAGAAACCTGTCTTTATGGCATATTAAGTTCTTATGCACACTGCATGTGAGATCCTTGCGTCATCCAGGGCCCTTTTGTAACATGATTTCATCATGAAGAGCATTAAGATACTGAGAATTATAAGCAAGGCAACTTCCTTTGCCACCCCACTGTATACAAAGGACACCTGGCAGGATTTCCCAGCTGCAGAAGAGGACTTTCCTCCTGTATACGAATCTTAGAACTTACTCTGCTCCCATTTCATACAAGGAACAAATTCAGCTAGTCCTGATAGACCGCCAAGAAGTAGGATTTTCAGAAGCAGTTTAGAACTTCCATATATTTTCACTTAAGTTTTTGCTGTGCAGAACAGATCGTACAGGTATTGCATTTTAACCTGCACTAAACATCTTTGTCAGTAGAACAACTGGCAAAGGCTGTAGCTTATCTAAATTGTAATTGTTTTTAATTCATCTTTTCTCTAGAACTACTCTCAGAATACTATATGATGAATTATAGATTTGTAGGCCATTACATCAGGAAAAAGATAATCTTCCCCTACCAAGGTAGGGAAAGACCTACCTGCTCATTAAGAGTTGCTTTCTTTAAACCATAGGCCAACCATTTCAAAGAAAGTTTTCAAATGTAAATGATGACTCAGTGGATACTGTACCTCTGTGATGTAAGTGTAGGGTTTTGGGTATGAATGATTGCTTTTCAAGATTATCAGATGTGATATTTTCACCGACACATTGACATATAATGTGTATGACACAAAAGTAAGAATCAATCATCCTACAAAGGAAGACAGTGAGGGCTGTGGTTCGTGAATGAATTATCACATAATCAGTTGCTTTGCAGCATCAGCATGGTAATTCCAGGTGCCATTTCCCTTCCTGAAGGAAAGCAAAGCAGCTGTGGGGTCTGCAGAATAACAACCCGTGCACAGGCATTTACAGCAGACAGACTTGTTTCCTGGTACCTCGATGTATCAAACCTGTTACAAATCAGAGAAGCCAAGCTTAGAAGATACCTTTGAAAAACTGTAAGAGTGATTACTTTTTAGATCATTTAAAATCTATTATTTTTGATAGAGTATGTCATTTTTGATGCAGAATATATGCATTCCAATGTCTTTTATTTCCTGAGAGGATATTTAGGTTTTAATTATTCTTCATTGTATAAACCTCTTTCCTCCTAACTTGCAAAACATCTTCTGGTCAGATTTTTTGGAGACTATAATTTGAATAAATTCATATATTTGTGTATTGGCAGCTGTCTTAATCTCCTATATAATGGTTCTTCCAGAACCAGGAGAATGTTCTGCTCAGGACAACAGTATACTCACCAGGAAAACATTCAGTCTAAGTTTAAAAACTGTAGTATTGCACAGTTTACCATTTACTTTTTAATTTCACTAATAAGGATTCTGTGTGCTAAATCTGACTTGAAATTAATATATATTTTTTTAATTGCAGTTCTTCCCAGCAATGATTCTCTTTTTTTCTTTGATAAATATTTTGAACAGCTATATGCCAGTAATAGACACTTTGGCATCCGTGAAGATGATGAAGTGCAATTTATGAATATTTTAAGATTGAGCAGATAAATTCATTTAAAAAATATATGCCATATGTAGGAAAACCAATTTTTTTATTGAAATACTTTGACAGATTTAGTTGAGTGCCTCGCAGAAATCCGAGTACATTATATCAATCCAGATTACTTTATTAATCAAGTTTTTAATGTCAGTGTTATTAATTCTGTTTCTCTGAAATCTGTTTTCCATAAGAAAAGCAAATACAGTGTCAGCAATTATAATAAAATTCTTCAGTGATTTTTTGATTCACTGCTGAGTTACATCATAGTAGTTTATCAAGTTTAGTGGTTTGCAGTTACTACATTTCTGCAATGGATCTTGAAATGTTCTTTAACATTAGCAATTTACAGTGTTTTGGAACTTTTTGAGCTGTTCAACTTCTACTCCAAATAAATAATACTTACACTTAATATATAGTTCTTAGGACATTTCTTTCAGTGCTTTTGAAAGGACATTTAATACAGAGCTAAAAATATTAGTTTTACCATACCCCTCTATTCAGTGATGGAAAAAAAAAGACTTTTAAACTGTGTATGTGTTCTCTTACTCAGTCCTTATAGAATCTATGAATTTAGTATTTTCCAGCATTTACTCATGTATCTTTAATCAACTTTTTTTCTTTTTGCTCATTTGATTATAATTGTTGACATCTCTGAAGTATATTTATGATAAAGATGTCATTTAAAATTAATAGTCCTTTTCTTGCACTTTTTCTGCTCTGTAATGCTGTATTGCAGTAGACAAAAAGTATACAATTATATATTGAGAGGTAAAAAAAGAATAATTCTTATTTACCCTAAGATCCATTAACTACCAGTGCCATCAAAATATCGTCTCCTACATCAATATTTCTCTATAGTGAGCACTAGCTCCAAATTTTATGCACTTGACCTTTCCATAACAACTCTGTTTTTTATTATGTGTATGTATGCATCCACTTTCTCTAGGAAGATATTCTTTTAGATATTCAATATTTTTTTGAAATTGCAATAACTCCTGCTTATTCAGATGCCACTTCTGTCTTCTATGTTGTGATTAATTTTAGGAACTTGTAAAAAATTTCTATTTAAAGTGGGTTTTTATTACTAGGAAGCTATAAATTTTATTAGCAGAGGAAAGAGGATTTTGGAGTCTAATATTTTTTAATTAAAAACAATGCCATTCCTTCCTCTGGATTTAAATACATGTCTGCTTCCTTTTTAATTGTTTTCTGTTTTGGTTCATTATAGTTCTGCTACCCATTTGTTGTTTTGCAGGGAAAAAAAGAGACTGTGGCAGAATGAAGATGATAAAATCTTCCTTTCCTGTTAAGTTTTGATGTAATCTTAGCAGAAATAATTTGCCAGTATTTGCCATGTCAAAATTGCTGCCTCATGTAGCTATTATAGGGCATATCACGAAAAAAAATGCTCCCCTTTTAAGACAGGATTGTGACTTCTTGGAAGCCTTTGGAAAAAATATGGGAAGTCTGAGATATGAATACAGACTTCTGCAGAAATGTGTCCTTAGGAGGAGAAAGCTAAGGCTCAAGGTCTGTCAGTGACACTGTTGTGTACAAGTACGTGTGTAGGAAGCCTGGTTAGGCCCTGGCTGGTAAAACCTCAGGAGCTTCTTGAACCACGGAGCTGGATGGTCCCGAGCTCTTCTCCTGTGACTCCCTTTGCCAAGGTCCCTCTGCCCCTTCCTTGGCTTGCCGGAGGCTTGGCCTTTTCTCTCAAGACTATTCCCACCATCTTCTTCCTCTCAGGCTATATGTTACTGCCTTTTTTTTTTTTTTTGCATGCACTTGGAAAGGGGCCCAGTTGCATTTTCTGCTTCTGGAGAGCATCTTCTGGCAACGTGTTTCGCAACCCGTCACTCATGTGGAGTACAGCGAGGAGCAGCGTGTTGCAGGCAATCAGCTCGGGAAGAGCAAGAAAATGCAGCAGCTCCCTGAGGGGCCCTTAGCTAGGGCTTCTAGCTAGGTGGTAAATTGAACCTTTCAGGGAACACAGAGCATCATGGCACAACATGGCCTGCTGCCACCACTCTGTCTCACTCAAAACACTAGAAACAAAAATACTATAAATATAGGTAGGCTTTTGAGGAGAAAAAAAAAATTATCAAGTTATTGATTTTTATCAAAGTCTTAGTCAGAGACACATAATGTAAGAAGCACCCTCCCCCTCCAGCTCCTTTATTCAAGCTGTTATTTCAAATCTTCTGGAAAGAAGAAACTATGTGCATACTATATTATTATACTTTTCAATTACTTATTTACTTATTATACTTTCTAATAAGTTATGAGTCAGCATTTTTAACTGAAGATGACATTTTTTCACTCCAGTGTATTTTATTTACACTAAATACTTTTACTATATTACTTTATCTACCCTAAAACTTGCACACTCTACAAAAAGCAAAAAAAAAGTATGGTGGAAATATTTTAAATACTACATCTATTATATTCCAGCAGTAGATTAAAATTTGGTGTGATTTTAAAAGAATAATTAAGCAATCAAAATTATACATAGAAAATTACAGTGGAAAGAAAGAATTCTTGCCCATATTTGATAATCTTTGAAAAATCAGTTTGCCTATATTTCATGCCCCTAATCTTTAGTTCAGATCCTCTTGTTTGAGGAAATAAAAAAATTAATTTCTCTGGATTCGTTCAAGACATATTTTTATTGCCATAAATTATAATTGGATAGCTGACACCTGGAGTTCAGGTTTTACTTCATTTTTTCATTAGTTTGGAACTCAGGAAATATTTGTGCAAGTCTGGCACTCTGTTTTATAAAGCTAATGCCCCGACTAATATAACATCTGGTGTCTATTTGTTTTAGGCATAATTTCATTTGTTGCTGAAGATGAAGACCAACAGCAGTCTCAACATAATGGCTCACTGGAGAAGACAGATGGTGAACAGGCCCTTCAGAAATCGTCAGCAGAGACACCACTTGCTGTTGATGCAGCAAGTATAGGTATGTTTATAATTATGCATAATTTCATTATCAGTTTGGATAAACCTATATCATAATGTACTTTTAAGCGAAATGCATATTTTGTGTGACAATTCACATGCCTGTGAACAATATAAAGTCCAATGTTTATTGCATGCATATACAAAAGTTCTCTTTTGGTAATTGTTGAAAAAAATGTTATGGAATTTTAAACCTAGCTGATGTTTTGCTTTTCTCTTTCACTGAACACTGTGGAATGTGTTGGAGTTATATGTGTATTTGTATAGGGATAATAGAATGTGTAGGGTTACATCAAAAATTCTTCACAACCAGTAGATACGTGGAAAAAAAAAAAGATGTTTTCTTTTTTTCATTGTAATTATTGATTTATTCTGTAAAAACTTTTGTTTTGAGAACTTACCTTATACAAAGGCTAAAAGTTTTTATTTTACAGGCTGAATGTCAATGATGCCCATCAGTTAAAGTAGAATATAACTCTTAGAGTGTTTAGAGGCAAAAGTTCTATCTTCTGTAAGCTTTCATTTTACCTGAAAATTGATTGAAAAATCATTCAAGCTGATTTTTTTGTAAGATAGATTTTTCAGTTCCCGATGTGTACCAGTAGCTAAGCTATAGTTGCTTAGTGTCAGTTTATTTTATGTTATTGCATATTTTATTCTGAAATGCAAGGATGGTTTAACCTTATTTTCAACTGATCACATTCTTGAATCATTTTTTTTACTTAAAAAGACACTTGAATTGCCTGTTAAGAAAATTATATTGATTGCTTTTATCTAGATGATTTGTAAGCATCAGTTGCTGTGATTTTAATGGTACTCTCAGATAGCACAATAGAGAATAGCTGGTTACTTTCAGATTTATCTCTGTCATACTTATTATAAATAGTTCCTGGAAATTTGTTGAGATTTTTTAAGTGTTCCAGAAGAACCCTTTAGTGATTACAAACATGGACTCCAAATTGACTTTTATTTTTTGAGCTACTTTCTCATTTTTCTTCTTTACGTTGGTGTGTAAAGCTTTACCTTTAGAATTCTGCTTTTTATGACTTGAATACCTAATTTGGAATGCTTTATAATTATCAAGCATTAAGTTTTATGGTCAAAGCATAGAAAATATGTTATATGGTCAAAGCACAAGGAAAGTAATAATCACAAGTTCTTTATAACCTGAGAAAAGTGTTATTATAATCAATAAATTTTGAGCTCTCAGTGGGAAGTGCTTGCAACTGGAGAGGATCTCTTTGCATTCTTTATAGTTGTAATTTCACTGTGGCAGAATTTGTCTCTTTTTAAAGATTAATTAAGCACTAGTTATTAATAAATAAAATTTATTTAGTCTAAGTTAATGTTAGAAAGTCTGTGCTTTCTAACTTTATATTTACAGTCTGTGAATATCTATATTTAACAATATGTAGAGAACCACAGCGAGATCTCTGATATGAGCGGTCTCAATAATTTACTGTCTATATAGACAACATAGCTCAGTGACTGTCCCTGGTAATACAGTAAGTATTTAGTGTTGGGAATACCAAAAATTACTTTTTTTGTTCTCGATCCAAAGCCCTATGAGTGATTTTACATTGCTTCTCTGATTTATCAAATTCATTACCTCATTCTGGTTTGCTAAAGATTTAGTGTGAATTTTGAAATCTTTTTTCCACAGCTTAGACTGCTAGTATATTATACATTTTGTCGTGCACATGCACTACTTGTAAGAGCTGTATTTAAATTTAACAAAAGATAGTGAATGTTTTCTATGATTATTTAGCTCTTATGCAAATTCATATCTTTTATAGTGCATTATTTCATGCAAGCTAGCAGTGGGAAGTACAATATGAATTTAAACTACAAAAGGACTAGAAGAAAGATAAAAATGTAGAAGTTGTGGGCACTACCAGATGTTATTTTCAGGTGAAAACTGAAAATAGTAAAAAAGGAGGTGAGGTGACCAGTAAGCCAAACTTCTTTCATAAGGCTTTAGGTATAGATAAGATTGTTGCAAAGTGGTAGGGTTAGAAGAGGAAAAACAGAAAAGAAATAAATCTTGGATGGACTGAGTAACACGGGAGTTTAGAGAAGGTCTGGAAATATTAAATGGAGAATTTTCAAAGCCCAGGAAAAAAACTCTCAAAAAGTAAATTAAAAAATAAAGTGAATTATGTGAGGACAGTACAAATTCACTTCTCCTGTTTGGGACAGTAGTAGTGTTGAAGAGTAATGTTTTTCTAAATATTGCCATCAAGAGAGCTATAAATAGGAAAAAGTCCTTAAGAAGGCAGTTTACAAGAAATAAGATAATCACTGTTTAACATTCATTGCTTTAGAAAGTTCAAGAACATTTACTCACATTTCCCTCCTACAACTAGTTTTTATTTGAATTTTTGTTTACTGCAAAGTAGAAGGAGATGACTTTCAAAATCTCACAGTAAATCAACAGAATTTCACAGAAGAAGGACTATAAGAGATTAGATTAAGGTGACTAATGCAGATAATGCAGCAGAGGTGAGAATTAGTAGATGTCAAGATATTAAGAGGAATTTATCATAAAAGAAATATCAAGAGTGTTTCTGTGAAAATACTGAAGATAATCCTGAAATATCTACTGAATTGGGAAAGAGAAGAAATGGTCATGAATTTAATTATGCTTCTATTGTCCAAGCTAAACATTTTTGCCTATGAGATATTTAGCTGCATATTTAAGAAACATCAGTGCAATAATAATATTAAATGTTATTGAAAGTAGCTAAAAAGAAAAAGTGGATTTTTTTTAGTACTATCACTTTCACCAATGATATGAATTAAAGGCATTGTTCTTAGGTACAAAATTTAAAATAAGTGTTATTTCACTACTGTATTACTGATAGGTCTTTTGCTCAGTTTAGTTTCCTTTAAACAATATGAGATTGTCTGATCAACTTAAGAATGTATTTCTTACATTTGTTGAGGGTTGATCATTTTTAAACAATTTTTTTTTTAACCTTTGCTTAAGAGACTATATTTACACTAGTGGAAAACAAAAATTTAAATCATCAAATATTCATTATGAATTGTAAAACTTGGTCTCTCCTGGCTCCCTTATTCTGTTAAGAACTGAATGAAAACAAGACATAGAACTCAAGATCCTCCAAAGAAAATTCCTTGTCACTTGCTTTTCCTAATAAAAGATTTTTACAGTAATCTGTCAGGAAAGTCAGATATCAATTAAAGTGGACTAATATCTCATGGAAACATAAGCTCTTTGTTATAGTAGAACATCTGATTGTCCTGGGGTGGTGTAAAAGAAACAGTTCATGAGAGCCAGTGCAGGAATTTTGGCCTGTTGTTTTGTGAGCACAGTAAGGAAGAAACAAGCAACTGTGTGCTTGCCACTGTAAGCCTTTCTAAAACCAGTTCTGATCCCTCTGTTCCTCTCTGGTTCCTCCCAACTTTGGTCTTTCCTTGTCTTGGAGGACTCTCCTTCTATTGTTTGTATTGCTTTCTGTTCTTCTCCTATCTCCTTCCATTCATTGAAATGTGCTTATATTTGTATACATTCATTTGCATAGGTAATCTCTAAACAATGCACACAATACAGATTTCAATTCTCTGTAAATCTGCTCTACCAGCATATACCTCAAGATGGGGGCATTTTGGAGGCAGCCGGGTTGAAGACTTCTCTGAACTCTAAACAACAACAACAACAACCACCTGAGTTCTATCAGAAGTGGTTTTCTTCTATACCTATATCCTTGTTGTAGTTTTATTAATAAAATGAGTTCTATCCTATGACTGATCACAGTAGAATGATTGATGGATGTTTTCAAGATTTAGTTCAGCATAAAATACAGGATTTCTTATTTGTGGGGTGAACGGTGCTAGTACAACGCAAACCGCTTCCGCTGGTAGCTTGCGTTAAGCCAGATACATCCCACATTTTGCAGTGTGCATCTCAGAGCTGAGAATCCCCATGGCTGTTGTTGCTGATCTGTGGCAACAGAAAATAGATGCAGTTAAAAACAAAACAAAACAAAACAAAACAAAACAAAACAAAACAAAACAAAACAAAACAAAACAAAACAAGGCAGTTTTAGTGCCTGAAGTGAAAACCGTTGATGTAGAAATCCTTATGAAAAGTCTTCTTCCTTTGCTGCTTTATGTCAGGGAAAAACCAAAAATGTCTGCATCACTGATGTGGTGGTGTGACATTCCTCTTTGTTAAGTGACGCAGGTTTTCAGTTCTTTCCAAAGCATTTTTATGACTTTTGAGAGAAGAGCTCTTGGGCTTTTCTGCTGTGAGACAAGAAGTTGATCAAGGCTTGTTAAGACTAAAAGTAGGAAGGACCTAGTCTTTCTTTTTACAGGATGTCTTGTTATATTCCTGTGTACTAGGATAGGATATATTCCTATCTACTAAGATCATAGGCAAATATTAGCAATTTTAATGAAGATCTATTTTACAAACTGAGTGCAAGCCATGACTCCTCACATGCATGTTATAGCTTCCTCCCAAAGCAGAGAAAGTTACTGCCTTATTCCTGGGAGTGTGGTCCCTGCAGAGGCCAAAATGCACCTCTTTCTACAGATGGTGAGAGATGGCAGGGGCTGCTGGGCTCAGCCTTTGCAGGAGCAGCTCAGCCTTCCTCGGGAGGCAGGTCCTGCAGTAAAGAAGAGATGGGGCTGGTGCCTTGCAGCAGTGTCTGGATGTTGCAGCCTTGGTGAGGCCTCAAACTGCTGGGACCTGCAGGCGCAGTATGTTAGTTTGTACAAGGCAGAGGAAAGTTGCATGGGGCTCTTATCTTACTCGAACTGCCCTAAGCATTGCCTTCATCCAGAGATTTCTTATAGAGTTCTTAGGGAGCACGTTTCCATTTGTATGCCATTGCCAAGTTTTTGAATTACTTTGTACTTGGAAGGCACAGCATCAAAAGCTGCACTACTTGGCAATCTGCTGGTGCTTCTTTGTTGTGGCTCCATGTTTCGGCCAGGCATTCACTAAGGCAAAGCCGGTTCTAACTGTCTTTG